GGGAATGGGGGGGAGAGAGAGAGAGAGAGAGAGAGAGATGATAGATATAGATAGATGATAGATAAATAGAGAGAGATAGAGAGTGAGTACAGGGAGTCCTCATTTAGCGACCCCAATTGGGACTGGCAAATTGGTTGTTAAGAAAAGCAGTCACTAAGTGAAATATAATTTTACAATCTTCCTTCAGTTTTCCTTTGCTTTACCGACCTGCAAAGGTCATAAATGCGAGGACTGGTTGCAAAGTTACTTTTTCATCACCGTCGTAACTGCAAACAGTTGCTAAATAAGGCAGTCACTAAATGAGGACTACCTGTATGTGAATACACACACACACACACACATTATATACATACACACATATGTATGAGAAGTCCGTATGTGTATGTATCTGTGTGTGTAAAATTTTTTGTCCTTTTTGGATTGCTTTCTTTTTTTCTTTTTCTTCCCTTTCTTCCTTGTTCTTTTTAACAAAATAAAGAAAGCAAACAAAAGGAAGCAAATTTGAAAATCTTCATAGCTGCTGGGCAGGCAAGACATCGGTGTTATAGAAATGGTTTCCCTGAAAAAGAGTTAAGAGACAAGTAGGTCGAATAGTCAACACCTCACATCCCAGGAATATTAAAATATCCCAAGGACTGTTAATCATCACTTGTCCTCTGCCATGTTTTCCCACCTGTCTCTGCTGGCCCAGGTTGCTCTGAAGCTGATGTTAACATTCACAAATCTTCCTACAGAAGGAGATGATGTGTGATTTACATGGCTCGAGAGAGTTTCCTGAGCAAGGTAAATCAGGGTAGAAGTGAACAGACCCATCTGCACGGCCACAGCAAGTTTTTGTCCACATTTTTACCCCGCAAGGCTGCTCTGCAGCTGGGGATCCAAACATTGACATAACTAGTTCATTGTTGCTTGTGTGAATTAGCTGTCTGTCTGGTAGGGCTGTGCAGCTTTCAAAAGCGATTTGAAAGAAGTGCTCTGGACCTCACCTGGACATGGACACAACCCCTCGATCCATTAAAGCAGCCCTTCTTTTTTTCAGCTTTCCACACGAGCCTGTAAAAAAGACACAGCTGCTTTAAGAGGTAAGTGAAGTCAAACCAGCTCCTTAAAACAGCCACTCCTTTCTTTAGGCTCACGTGGAAGCTGGAAAAAAGAAGGGCTGCTTTAATGAACAGCAGGGATGTTGCACTGATGTGAATTCTGGGGCATTTCTGTACCTTTTCTGAAGGACGCACAGCCCTACGGTCAGCTATGATGCAGTGTTTTGTTTCATTTTTCAAGAAAGAGGGACACAGGAACTTCTATCTCTAGATATTCTATTTTTCTTTATTGTTATTATTGTTCATGTTACATGTAATGGGCAATAGGAATAACCTGGAGGAACAGAAGGAAGAGCCACAACCAAGACAATGGTCAGATAAAAGAAATTTGAGTCCGAGGCAGAAATGTAATTTGAGAAAGCGTCTCAGACAAGACTCTCCCTAATTCTCACAAATATAAAGGGGGGGGGGGGCATTCAGATTTGCCAGATTCTGTTACTATAACTTTATTATAAAATTTGCATTGGCCTGTATAACTTAGGTTTCCTAGTCTGGTCTACCTCGAAGGTCTGACATTATTATTGGTTTTTTAAAAATTATTACTATTTTAAGTTACTTCTGAAACTTCATAACAAGAGGGTTGCACTGATGTTGCAGTTCTTTGTATGATTACAGCACAAAAAATGGTTAATCTTAATCCTGAAATGAAGCTCGGAATAGAGAATCTCCCTTTTTACTCTTACAGCTTCATTACTATCAAATCATTTCTAAAGTCAGTTCTTCCTCTGCTATGGTTATAGCAGTGTTCTCAACCTTGGTCGCTTTAAGCTGTGTGGACTTCAACTCCCAGAATTCCCATGCTGGCTGGGGAATTCTGGGAGTTGAAGTCTACACAGCTTAAAGCAACCAAGGGTGAGAAATTCTGGGTTATAGTAAGCACTTATTGGCTAATACCTGTGGAGTCATCCATAGTTCTGTTAGATGTGCTCCCGGCACCTGATCACTTTATTTTCTCCACTGCATTGCATCTTTGTTATATCTCCTAGCAATTAAAAGGGAAAATTCTTGTGAAAGGAAAGAAGTTAAGCCCAGAAACAGAAGAGGTTTCAGATGAGGATGAAGCAGCTGAAATGGAAGACGAAAATGTGAAGCGTGAGGTAGAAAAGAAGAAAATGGTAAGTTCCTTGGTACATGATCCATGTTTATACTAGGAGGAAGTAAGCTGAGACTCTTTAAAACCCTCATGGGAACATATATGTTTTATTCTGCTCTTGAAGGAAGATTATTAGGGGTTAGAAGAGGTGTTTGGGTTGTGTGAAAGCATTCTTTAAGGCAGCCTGGCCTTTTTTCAGTCTTCCATAGAAACCTGAAAAAAAAGAGAGACATAGCTGTTTTAATGAGCTTCAGTAGACATGTGGCTGCTTTAATGAGTTGATCCTCACACTGTTGCATCCTCGTTTGGACTCACGCAGAAGCCTGGAAAAAGACCAGGCTGCTTTAAAGAGGCATTTTGCATATTTCAAAGCACCTCAGCTGAATAATGTTTGAGGGACGCACAGACCTGTAGTGTGGCTGACTTATTCTCACTCTCTCATTCTCTGCTAGACCGACAAGTTAAAGCTCGCAAAGGACCTGTCGGATACTGTCGTCTACTGCAAAAGTGTCCACTTTCAGGGATTTGCAGACACAAAGTCCCAGCCTTACGATGAGATGTCCTCTTTCAGTGAAGGCAAAGCTGTTAAACTGACTCAGGAATCAGGTACTTAAAACATCTTCGTAATGTTTTTAATGAGGATTTTGGAATATAACTGAATATAACAGCATTCCTGATCCAGTACTCTTTTTAAATTTATTATTAATAGTATACATCTGGCTTGGCAATCTGTGGTCTGCCAGAATTGTTGGATTACAGATCCCAGCTGCCTCGGTCTTGGTCATTCTGGCTAGGGATACTGACATTAATAGTTCAAGAACTTCTGCAGGGATGTCTGCTGGGGGCAGGTCAACATCTGTAATATGGTGGGTTGATGTTGTGATCAAAACCCCGCCCCTTTTGTATACCTCTGAACCTCGGCAAGGCAACAGTTTAGTAAGTTACATATGCACAACATTTAAAAAATGGAATATGAAAAAAGGAAAGGTCAATTTTCCTTCCTTCCTTCCTTCCTTCCTTCCTTCCTTCCTTCCTTCCTTCCTTCCTTC